ACGATTTTGGTTCGACACAAGGTTCCAGAAGCAAAGAAAAATAAGATGGCTATGGCAGAAACAAGTAAGCACTTCTAAACAATTCAAGATGTGTTGAAATTACTACATGAGTTTGTTTATGAGAAATCAATCCGTGTAAGGGATTAAAGGTTTGTGAAAATAGAAAAGGGAAGATAGGTTTGGTGTTTGCTGATGGGGAGAACTAATAATTAATAAACAATAAACAATGGGTGTTGTATTTCGTGTTGCATTACTGTGGGGTTATCGACTGCAGAAATGTATATAAGGGAATGCTTAGAATTGAGAGTGATCATGGTTAAACAAATTAAATGAATAGACAAGGGGCAAATTAGAGTCCCGCAACAAAGGAACTAATCGTGCACACACATAAACATGAGAATGCACACATCGCATCCCATGTCAAACGGTGTGCACACAGTAAACAAAATTGGCTTAATGTTTTACGTACGGATATACTGATTTTAAAGTAGTTGGATTGTATACTAAATAGACCACAATTATGTTTGTTTTCTAAAATGGCTTATAATTGAATAAATTAAAGGCTATAATTCCTTGGTTATCAATGTAGTATGCATGCAGTAAACAACACTAGTGGGTGCAGCGTGCACACGTTATTAGACGATTGTGCACACAGGCACGCACGTAGGACACTAGTGTGCACACCTGACTTATCGTTGACCGCACTGAACTACTAGGATACTACAAAACCATGATTAAAAATGTGGAATGTGAGTGATTGATGAAACGCACACACACCTAACGAATACTGTAATTAGTCATACAAATCTGTTGGACACAAAGTGTAAAATGAATGGAGCATTGTACAGGGTTACAATATGATTAATTTACTATTATGTGGAAGCGTTCAACTCCCCATTGCAACTTGAAATCGTTTAAACTTTGCGGTTAATAGCCAGGAAGCGCGCACCTATACGCATGTGTGCACACACTGTAACAAAAGTGGTTGGGGTATTCCAAAATTACAAAGTAATGCATACAGGTGTATGCTTATGTGCACACGGGTTGAAATAGCAAACCTAGTGTGCAATACCCACTATCAGCTGGTGCACACCTAAATAATGAGCCAAAAGATACGTTCATTTGTGCACACTGTTATGTGAATAATGTGCACCCCCAAAGCTACATCATGCACAAGATTACTCTTCTTCTGTACATGTATGTGGTGTCCAGTACAGAAGAAGAGTAAATCACTGAACAAAAAAAAAAAAAAAAAAGGAAAATAGCATAACATAATAAATATGAATCCCAAAAACCAAATAGATACACTAGGTGGAAGGATATTGTAATTGAAAAAAAATAAATAAATAAATAAACAACATACACCAACAAAAAGCCTAACTTCGGATAATTATAGTTCTTCCAAAAAAATGTGCAAAACATACAGAAGTCATAGTTATGAATGCAACACTAAATAGCAGCTAACGGAGTGGAAAAAACTGAAACGCTTGGGCGAGGTTCCTACTTCTATGCAGATTGAACTCGGAGATTGCAATTTCATTCATGTAATGTAACCTAAGCTTGTCCCCGAACCACCAACATCTGACTGTGATACCTTGGATTTCTTACCTGCAACAACCAACCAATACGCAAGAGAAGATCAACCACCCACCAATCCAAAAAGACAATTTCACACACAGGTCAGGTTTATGCACACAATCGACTTGGTAAATGCACACAACAGAGTACAGTAAACAACATGTCTGTGAACCAACGTAACTAAAAGAATACAAACACCTAAAAAAGAAAAATGCATAAAACCAAACTTCCAACCTTGACATCAACAAACAGTGCACCGCAATTGAAACACGAAAAGACGACCGCATGAAAACGACAAGACCACAGGAATAAACAATAAACAAAAAAAAAAACATACACACAAAAACAAATAGTGATGCACACAATCACACATACCAATGCACATGGTCGCTACGTAGTAAGCAAAACAGTACCGCAGGTGCACAAGCTAGATCGCAAGGTTGGAAGGCCAACACTGAAATAAAATAAAATAAAACTCATGTACCAAATGTAATTGTGGCATAATAACAGACCATGGGACTAAATGTGGGTACAAAACCTGTATTTATATTAATCTGCACTTGAGTTGTGAAAAATATTTCGGTTTTAATCTCTAAAAGAATTATGTGTAATAACATATTGACAAAAAATGACAATGCAAATAAAACCAAAGATCTATCAGAAGACCAAATGTATTATGACCGTATGCACACCTACGTAACCAATGCCAGAACCACCATAACTGCGTAATCCGACAGTCCCTTCAATGAGCACCACTTCAACAACATACAACAACAACAATATAAAGAATTATGAGTTAATTTCATTTTTGGTTCTTAGATTAAGTACTAATGATATCTCATTGGAGTCATAGTTAATTTGCAATTATATATAATAATAATAAGTTTAATAGCTAATGATAATGATGTTTGAAAGGACTGTATTTTTCACTCTAAAAAATGGACAATGAAATGAAAGTGAAAGTGATGTCTAAAGAATTGAAAGGCCAACTAAAGTGAATAATGATTACCGTATGCTATAACTATTATTAGCTATTGCAAATCAAATCAAAGCTCAATCTTCCAATGCTTTTTAGCCAAAACCAGAACAATAGATAGGAAAGCAACCAAAACCATTACCCAAAATGAAATAAACAATGGACTTAAAAAAAAAGAAAAAAAAAAAGAAAAAAAAAAAAAAAAAAAAAAAAAAAAAAAAAAAAAAAAAAAAAAAAAAAAACAACGGAACACTGCCAGCAAGCACCTCCCAACGCTGCAAGACCATTGCCGCAGGTCCCCCAGCACACCCACCCTTTCAGCGCATCAGCCACCCAAACTGAGCAAAAAAAAAAAAAAAAAAAAAAAAAAAAAAAAAAAAAAAACTACACTAGTACAAAAAAAAAAAAAAACAAAAAAAAAAATTAAAACAAAAAAAAAAACCTAACTCTACTTAGGTCGCCCCGAATCCAACTGTCCGACCGATTAACCACCATCCCTCCCCCACACACACACAACTTGCCTGAGATGAAACACACATGCATAACTACACAACCCCCAACAACCGATTACCACAAAACGAAGGATAAAAAAAAATGAAACGACAAAAGAGGGGAAAATTACCTCGACCTCCACCCCAAGTTGATAGTCCCCGGCGCTTGGCTCCACTGTGGTCCCCACCGGCGACCATCGTCAGCAGCTAATGGAGAAGGCAAAGCGAACGGCGTGGGAGAGACGCTCGGCCTACGTACGCGATAAACAGAGAGAAAAGATCGGAAAAGACAAAAAATCTAAGGCGCGTGAATGACTTAGTAGAATTTGATCCGTTTATGAAAATGGTAAAAAGTCAAAATTACCCTCCCTAAAATAAAAACACAGGCCTGATTAAATAAAATCCCGATAAACAATTGAATCAATCCTATTCATCCAATCCCAAAATCTAATGATAGTAACGAATCCACACGTTTGTATTTTAAGTACTGTTTGTATTTGAATATAATCATATATATATATATATATATATATATATATATATATATATATATATATATATGTATGTATATATATATATATGTATATATATATATATGTATATATATATATATATATATATATATATATATATGGATGCACTCAGGTGCGAATAAGTGTCCAGGAAGGAATATGCGAACGAATCAGCGCGCGACACGTGTCCAGATCTAATAACTTAAAAAAAACACGGTGGCATTTTCGTAAATAATTGAACATCGAAGTGCAAGTAAAATCACTTACAAGTGCACCTACTTTCACCTATAAATGCATGTAATTTTGCCTTGTTAGCATTCACTTTCCGCAAACATTCATGCACCTGAGTGTGTTTATAACTATATGTGCAACTATTTATAATTATAGGTGCAACTACTTATAACTATAGGTGCATCTACTTTCACCTATAAGTGCATGTAATTTTTCCTTGTTCACATTCATTGATCTGAGTTCAGCGGGTAGTAATACCCCTGAAAACCACTCGCAAACATTCATACACCTAGGTACAACTACTTATAACTATGTGTGCAACTACTTAGAACTATAAGTGCAACTACTTAGAATTATAGGTGCAACTACGTATTGATGCTCAGTGTAAATTTTTACTTGCACCTATAATACATTTTACATGCACTTGTAATACATTTCACTTGCACTTCGATGTTCAATTATTTACGAAAATGTCACCGTATTTTTTAAAAAAATCAGTGTTTCCATTAGATCTGGACACGTGGATGGACAGAATCCATTCCTATTTCGCGTCTGGACGGAGCATTCGCACCTGAGTGCGATTCTATATATATATATATATATATATATATATATATATATATATATAGACACACACACACACACACACACATATATATATATATATATATATATATATATATATATATATAGAATAAAAAAGAATAATAGAGGAGATAGTAGAAAAAATAAAAATCAAAAATACTAAAATCAAAATAATATGAACCATGTATTTCAACCAATGATTGGATCAACATTTTTTTAGTCTCAGACCTAACTTTCTCTTATTAGATAAGTACGAGATGATATCTGACTTAGGGGATTAAATCAAAAGATTGTCAATTTGAACGCACTTACGTAGTTACCTGACTCTCAAACTGTGGATAATAGAGAAGTAATATTGATTTTTATCTTTTCAACTGAATCAGATCTCATGATATCATAAATCTCAGAATGATCGACAGGGAGAAGGTTGTGATATTTTTGAATTCGATCTTTTTTTTTCTTTTTTGTATATATTTGCTTTAAGCTGGGGTTTTCATGTATTGACTATTGATTGGATAGTTTGCAAATATATAAGTGTCACTGTCATTATTATATTCTCAAATGATTAACTTTTCAAGGTTAGACGGTATAGCCACATTTGGGTGATGAAAAGGAAAATGTAAACTATTTTTTTACAATTGGATTTTCTAATGTTGGTTTTTCTTTTTATTAGAAATGGAAATCTCAGGAAATAGCAAACAGAGAGCCATGGAAGATGTAATTAGTAACTTGCCAACGGATGTTTTAAACTGCATCCTAGATTGCTTGCCTGCTCGAGATGCAGCAAGAACAAGTATTTTGTGTAGAAAATGGAGATACATATGGGCTGGTCATCCAAATCTTGTACTTGATCCCAAGAATATAGTCACTGTCACCAAAAATGATTTTGTTGGAATAGGAAATCGAATTCTCTTACAGCATATTGGGCCCATTCTAAGTTTTGATGTCAACCTTTCAGATGTGCACATGTCACAGTACCCAAACATTGATCCATGGATACTATACTTGTCAAGAAATGGATTAAGGGCACTCACAGTGGAGAATTCCAGTTATGATCTCTATGCACTTCCCTCTTATGTATTCTTGTGTCAAGAACTTACGTATCTGGATCTGACTAACTGTATCTTCAAACAACCATGTGGTACTATAAGAAGCTTTCAAAATCTTAAGGAGCTTTTTATGTATCAAGTTGCTTTCAAGCCAGAGGTTTCTGCTTCTATCTTTGCTGCATCAAAGCTTGAACATTTGAGGCTTGTAAACTGCAGTGGTATGGATCACTTGAACTTTGATGGCTGTTCACCATCACTTTTGCGCTTGGAACTTATCATGAATCATAGGGTTAAACTGGGTTATTTTATGCACTGCAAAAGTATAACCGATGCATATCTTAGTCTTAGTTCTCCAATGGAAGTTGAATCTCTTCACCGTGATGAAAGGATCAATTTAACAAGCCTTTTTGAGCACTGGACTCAAATTTCAAAGCTTACTTTGGATGGACACCATCTCAAGGTGCATTTAATTTCCTTTTACGATTCTCTGTGTTTATTTCCCAAATGATATATGTAGGTTTGTGTTTTAATTTTTCTCTGTGGTGCCAAGCTTTTGGCTGCAGGTTCGGTTACGAGTGCTCTTCCCCTTAAAGTTAATAGCTTAAGGGAACTTGTATTGTTTGGAATTAACTTTACCGATCTCGAACAAATATCTTGCATTCTTTGCTTGCTTCATAGCTCTCCTGGGGTGCATAGCCCTCAAATTTGGGCAAAGGTGGGAAAATGATCCTCCATTTCCATTTATTATTTCTTCCAGTTTTGGTTTCAACTTATTTCAATTTTTGTGTTATAGATCCCTGCAGTGGCTGCTAGCGACAACCTTGCTTTACAGTATTTGCAAGAACATAGCAATATGAGCCAAGATATAAACAGTTTACAGACATTGGTGATCAATTATTTCCAGGGGTCAAGAGCTGAAATGCTTTTTGTAAAGCTTATACTTTCATGCTGCTCATCACTACAGAGGATCACTTTTGTGGACAATAAAGTATTGCAGTCGAATTTCTCAAATATTTTGAAAGAGTTGTTATTGTTCCCTCGAGCTTCAACGAAAGCACAAATTGTGTTCTGAACCTATGACTAAAATCTGGTTAATGTTTTTGGTTTCTCAATTTGAAAAATTGTCTCAATGAGCTGTTGAGATATCTTATTATGATTTGATCAAGTTTTTGTCTTGCCTTCTCACCACAGCTCTTTGAGGTTTGGTTTGAATAGTTTCTCCAAAGCCAACTGCACTAGAATGTAGTAAGTGATATTTCTTGCTGTAATACTTTAATCCATGTTTGGTTTATGGAACAACATCTCCTATTATATTCCTTTATCTATTGCAATCATAACGAAATAGCATTCCCATTCTATTCTAGCTTTATCTATTGCAATCTTAATAAAATAGCATTCATGTCCGACCCATGGAGGGTTCTACAATTCAGTAAGGAGATTAGTTATTGTGTTTGACGATGGAAACCAAGGATACATCCGGAGGGGGAGGGTAAAATACTATTTATGCCATAACTCCAATGAGCCTCCCCTATCAACTTAACCCGTTCCAATCAGCATCCTCAAAGTTCGGTTATGTATCACACACAAATCCTTAGTAAATTGAGCAAAACAATTATTGGAGTCATCAATCAATTGTGACACAAAAATTAAATTGTAGTTCAACTTAGGTACATATAGCACATTATGCATTTCCAATCTTTCATCAAGATTCATGAAACCCTTCTTAGTTGCGGTACTACATCCGTCTGGCAACACCATAGGACACCCAATCATATTGCTCATATTGAGCAAAATATTTGCATTGCCCATCATGTGCTCATATTGTGCAAAATATTCGCATTGCCCATCATGTGATTAGATGCCCTCATATTGTGCAAAATATTCGCATTGCCCATCATGTGATTAGATGCCCTTGTGTCAATGATCCATGTATCATCTTTACCTATCATTGTCTCATTTAATCCACCTTTACATACGTTCAAAGCTGCCAAAAGAGTCGGCCGCTTCTTGATCATTACTGCATTTGCCCGAACACCGCCTCATCTCCCACGCCCGACAGATGCTGCTTCTTGATCATTACTGCATCCGCCTCATCTCCCACGCCCGACAGATGCTAAATATGTTGCTTTTCCTCGTACCCCACTTTTTCCTTCTCCTCTTGGCCTATCGCCCCACCAATCCGGGTACCCAATTACCTGAAAACAAGTCGAAGCTTCATGCCCTATATCGTTTTACAAATTGAGCATGTTATAGTATTCTCCATTATGTCTCCTTTTCCTTTAAATTTATTTCCTGTATGCACATGCAACCCAATCGGTTCTCCTCGTTCTTCACTCACACGTGCCATAGATTTAACTTTCTCATCACATATCACAATACCATATGCTTTGTTTAGACTAGGGAGTGGTTCCGTCGACTAGGATATTCGAACGCACAGTACCATACGTGATCTCATCCAAACCCATCAGAAATTGATGTAACTGTTAGACTAAAATATCACATGCACCATATAATATGTGATTACAGGATCGACTAACCTCCAGCCATAGTCTTCTTGTTACGATTGAGCGATCTGGACTGCTGCAGAGATAACGAGTATTTTGACTCTCACTTTACTCAGCTCTCTCTAGATGGTGTATGAGGTATGTAATGTGAGCAGTGAGAGGACTAGTGACCTTATATAACCACTGGCCATCATTGTGGTTGATTTTCTTTAGGTCTCCTAAACCCTAACCAGACTCCTAATCATAATGGTAGTCTAGCTATTAGGTTATTAGTGTTGCACCACATATCAAATACTGAATATTATCATAACTTATCCTAATGTTATAATAATAGTAACGGATAAACGTTACATTCTCCCACTTGGTGCAAGCACTACCACTCAATAACAGAAAACATCAACCATAATGATATGTTCTCATTAGCACGAGTAGTATCCATTATGATCAAATGCAAACTGTCATTGGGCACTTAATTAGGAAACAAAACCCAACGAAATAAACCTTATGTTTATTCCAAGTCCCTGAAGTACATTTTCTCATCAATATGAAGCAAATGAAGGTGTACACACTTAATTGAGAAAATGTCTGAATGCCAAAGAATTTTAAACTGAATGTATATACAAATTCCATAGTGGGAAAAATTCCCATTTTCTGAACCAGATCCTTGAATTTAACTGAAGGCATGCATTTAGTCAAGGGATCTGCTGACACCAACTCAGTATGAATGTGTTCAAAGAATACAACTTTATTTTTGACACGCTCCCTAATTGCTAAGAACTTGATGTCGATGTGCTTAATTCGACTCCCACTTTTGTGGTCTTAGCTAGGAAGACTGTAGCTGAGTTGTCACAGTAGACTTTCAATGGCTTAGATATAGAATCCATAATTCTAAGCCCAGAGATAAAATTCTTTAGCCAAACACCCTATGAAGTTGCCTCGAAACTGAAAACGAACTCGGCTTCCATGGTAGAAGTAGCTATTAAGGACTGTTTAACACTTCTCCATGAGATAGCCTCACTGGCCATAATAAAGACGCACCCTGAAGTTGATTTTCGAGAATCAACACAGCCAGCAAAGTCCGCGTCTGAATGACCGACAACATCTAAATTGTCCGTCTGTCTAAACCCAAGCTTGTAACCTTTGGTTCATCTTAGATACCTTAGAACCCTCTTTACAGCTCTCCAAAAGTCTAACCCTTAGCTATGGGAGCAACATTAGATGAACAATTTTGCACATGAAATCTCTCTAAAACTTTGTTTATATAGGTTTCTTGAGATAAGCTCAGTATACCCCGGGACCTATCTCTACGAATTTTAATGCCGATAACGTAAGAGGCATCACCCATATCCTTCATATCAAAGTTCTTAGAAAGAAATTGTTTCACGAAGCATCCCCTTATCATTGGTGGCAAGTAAGATGTCATCCACATATCAAACAAGAAAGCAAATTTTACTCCCACTCACCTTTTGGTATATACAGTTATCTGAGGGATTTTCAACAAAACCAAATGAAGAAATTACCCCATCGAATTTCATGTACCATTGACAGGAGGCTTGTTTTAAACCGTATATGGATTTCTTAAGCTTACATACTAAATGCTCACCCAATCATATTGCTCATATTGAGCAAAATATTTGCATTGCCCATCATGTGCTCATATTGTGCAAAATATTCGCATTGCCCATCATGTGATTAGATGCCCTCATATTGTGCAAAATATTCGCATTGCCCATCATGTGATTAGATGCCCTTGTGTCAATGATCCATGTATCATCTTTACCTATCATTGTCTCATTTAATCCACCTTTACATACGTTCAAAGCTGCCAAAAGAGTCGGCCGCTTCTTGATCATTACTGCATTTGCCCGAACACCGCCTCATCTCCCACGCCCGACAGATGCCGCTTCTTGATCATTACTGCATCCGCCTCATCTCCCACGCCCGACAGATGCTAAATATGTTGCTTTTCCTCGTACCCCACTTTTTCCTTCTCCTCTTGGCCTATCGCCCCACCAATCCGGGTACCCAATTACCTGAAAACAAGTCGAAGCTTCATGCCCTATATCGTTTTACAAATTGAGCATGTTATAGTATTCTCCATTATGTCTCCTTTTCCTTTAAATTTATTTCCTATCTGCACATGCAACCCAATCGGTTCTCCTCGTTCTTCACTCACACGTGCCATAGATTTAACTTTCTCATCACATATCACAATACCATATGCTTTGTTTAGACTAGGGAGTGGTTCCGTCGACTAGGATATTCGAACGCACAGTACCATACGTGATCTCATCCAAACCCATCAGAAATTGATGTAACTTCTCCTCCTCTTTGCGCTTATCAAGTTTGGTTGAGATGTTGCATTTGCATCCTCCAAACGCATTTGTTCATAGCTAGCCAAGTCATCCCAAAGCTCCTTCAACTTTCCAAAGTACCCGGCTATGGTCATTCCATGTTGTTTGCATTCACACAGCTCAGTCTTTATTTGATGTATCTGCGGTCCATTTGGCACCGAGAATCATTCTTTGATGTCATCCCATAGGTCTTTCGCATCTTCCATATGCTATATTGTAATTTCAACGACCATTGCTACAGAGTAGATGTAAGTTTATTAACTGTAATGAGCTTGTGATCGTTCTAAACCAATCAGGCAAAAATATGAGAAGCGCCTTCAAAGTTTTGTTAAAAAGGCATTTGAGGTAGTCTAATCTTACATTCTTTCCTCTTTAAGTCTCAACAAGAATTCATTTTTTGATAGATACACTCTTACCAGTCCCTTGGTGGTAGTATGAGATCATGCTAATTTCATTTTGGTATGTAATACATACAAGCGTTTCAACATTTATGAACTAATATGAATTGCAAAAAATAATGATTGGTAAAAATAATTGAACCATTTCTAAACTGTAATGTAGTGTTCGAATATGAGGCAATGAGGCATACCTACTTTGGCAAT